AAATTAAATAATTACAAAATTACAACAGCAATAAATAATGTTATGGGATTAATGTTGTAAATAAAATGTTGAACATACAAGTAAGAAATGTTGGGGAAAAATGCATACTTTTAAGCATGAGACTAAACCACCAGTAGGTGGCGGTAAGTCACTTACTCATTAAACAGATTCCTTCAAACCTCTGAATCATTCAGTAACAAAAACGCCGGGTGTGGCTTGGAGAATGTGCGCAATAATTCTGTTCTGATCTTTGTTTGGAACTATTTTCGTTGGTGAAATAAAACAAAACTTTTAAGTAACTTCATATACTTTACTACTTGTTTGTTGAACTAAAATCAATGTAACATTTGCAATCGTGAAAATATTCAGCAAAATAGATCCCTTGTCATGGTATGTTACTTGACTATATAATGCTATAAATAAACTAAACATTTTGAATTTTTACCTCGGTATGTTTGTTCTGTGAGTTTCTTTATGTGTGCCGTTAGGGATGCACCGATACCGGGCCCGATACTGGTCTCCTGTACTCGCGAGCTTGTCGAGTGAATATACCTTTCTCACAGACATCACTGGAAAGTTTGTAGTTTGGTCGGATGTGTGAAAAACAAGTAAGTAAAACAATGCACAAGTTACTTAACGGTAGGGAGAGCGAGAGAGAGAGCGTGCGCAATTCTGTTGTGTGATCTTTGATGTTCACTCACTTGGCCCACGCATCATTTGGATTAAAACTAAATCGTAAAAATAAAACCATTTATAGGGGCATTCACTATAAACAATTTATTTTCAACCTTAGGCATACACGACTTTGGCGAAAGTGATTCTAGCAGCCTGTGTGAAATGCGCTGTACTACTGTCTTCTCAGGAGACTACAGGCTGTCATTAAGGCTAAGGGTCACCCGACTAAGTATTGATAGTTGTGTAAATACTGTCATACTAACAGCTGTCTGAATTGTTTTGGTTGATTGTAATCCATTACATACCTTTCTATTAAAATTATCTAACATTATCAAGATGAATTTGTTCTGACACGTGATAATAGAAATACACTATCCATTATCAATCGCTGTTTAAGCTGAATGTAATAAAATCAGAAGAACCATTTGCCCGTTTTGATGCGTGATTATATTTTGTCATTTAAGTTTTAACCAGGCTATTAGTCCTGTCGGGCAAGTACAATTCTGAAGCCATTTTTTCAGTAAACTAGCATGAACCCATTTAAAGTAGCTGGTGTTCGACTATTTCTGTAACCGCAATTCTCTCTGATGATGCTGTAACTACGGCGGGGGTGGGGGGGGGACTCTTGATGGACACTCACTGGGTCCGTCAGACTGGAGAAATGTTTGTGGTAATGTGACCAAAAATATTTAAGACCTAATGAATCTGAATTTAAGACATTTTAAGACTTTTTAAGGACCCGCGGCCACCCTGCTTCCAGTATTTTGCCAGTTATCTGACGCGTGCAAAATGAAGCAGAGGATTTTTACAAATTGAATAGTCGAATAGAACTGACGGATCGCGACAGCCCTAGAAGCTATAAGATACAAAACAGCTGAGGGTAGAAATCAAGCTTCGGAGAACACAAACACACCTGCATGTGACCCAAATACTCCTCCATTATGGCCACTTTCTTGTTGTTTACAGCAGCGATCTTGGCATTTGTTTCCTCTTCAATTGCCTGCAAGTTGATCTCATTCTGCTCCATCTGCCGTAAACTGCACATTGAGAAAAAGATATAAACGAAGGAGGGGAAAAAAAAAAAAATCACAATAAAGCTGCACACAGCTGGTTTTCAGAGGAAGGTACCTGTCCTGTTTTGTGCTGATTTTCTGCTCCAGTTGTCTCTTCTTGCCTTTCAGCTCAGACAGTTTCTTCTTGTTAGCACGCAGCTCATTATCACGGCGATCCAGTTTAGCTTGTTGCTCACGAATGGCTGCCATCCGTTGATCAATGCTCTGCACCTGCCTCTCTGCTGCCTGCGAGCAAGATGTCAAATCTGAGGTCATTACACTTATTAGGGATGCATCGATCCGATACTTAGTATCGGTATCGGCTACGATACTGGCAGTTTCTGCCGGATCAGGTATCGGTCAGACGTGACCGATCCAAAATCCGGTATTGTACGAATACTATTCTGTGTTATTGTTAAGCCGCACGAAAGCACAAAAACAATACAAAGCACCATAAAATCAAAGTCCAAGCGTTCTGAATCCCTTGCATAGTTTAATGTGAGGTACAGATGAATATTTAAGTCGTTAAATTCAAGTTGACCCAAACTCTTCTCTCCGCTGCAGCTGTCTGTCATCCTCCATTCAGCATTCAAACTGCGTGTCGCATTTGGTTACGACAGTCAAGACGATGAAACTCTCTCCAACAGTGCACAGTAACTGAAATTTAAAACTGTTAAAAGAAAAGGCTCAATAAACTATCACAGATTTAATACACTACGCATCAATATCTCTATCCTTTGTGTTTTGAACGTCTCTATGCGGAGCGCGGTGCCTGCGCGCTCTGACTCCATGTTGCTTCAAGTGCATCATTCTGTGCACGGGATGTGCATAAGCACTTTGTGCTGCTCTGTATTGGAGCTTTTCGTATTATAATACTTTTGCGCAATGAAAGATTATTTATAGCGTTTCTTTTTCTGTCCTTCGATAGGACAGAAAAAGAAAAGCTATTTATAATCTAATGTATAGCACAGTAATGGAGGCAGCAACATATGATAGATAGGACTCCCGTGCTACTCCGAGAGGAACCATGTTACATATTATACAGAGAGTAAGTTGCCATTATTTTACTAGTCATGGAATGGGAAATGTTCCATTAACCTGTTAACAGCGGTTTCCTGTGTTCATGTATTTAAATAAAGGGGTGATTATTTTAATAAGTACCGCGTTTTCTTTACTCGTCTAATTTTTGTATTTGTATTTGCAATCAAGTCATGGCCAATACATGTTCGTAGCACTTGATTTCTTTGTTAAAATCTATTACACTATTAAAACAAATCTAGAAAACTGAGTGACCACATTGCAACATTAAACTCTGTAAAATGTTAAGTTGGTCGCAGTGCCATGCACTTAATGCCTCATCTGCGGCCGTACTAGAAGTACTCTTGATGGACACTCACTGGGTCCGTCAGACTGGAGAAATTTTTGTGGTAATGTGACAAAATATTTAAGAATTTAATTTGAATTTGAATTTAAAGACATTTTAAGACTTTTTAAGGACCCGCGGCCACCCTGGTGTGTATTTGACAGTCTAAGCGCAATAAGACATTAATTTAGTTTAGTACTCACATGCCGTGTGACAGCCGCTTACTGTGCGTGTGCTTCAGATGTGTGCACTCAGAAAACCGCATATCAGAAGCTTAAACTAATAGCATGATTTCATCATGATTTTGGCAGAGTATCTGAGGAAGGAGATGTAAAGGCACAGTCCTATTCTGGAAAAGGGGGCGGGCAGCAGCAGCTCATTTCCATTTAAAGGAACTAAAACAGCGTGTTTCTGCTTCCACTCAAAATAACCATTTTCAAAATGATGTAATAAATGATCTGTGACGTATTCTGAGCTGAAACTTCAGATACATTCTGCAAACACCTGAGACTTATATTACATATTGTAAAAAGGGGCATAATAGGTCTCCTTTAAAAATCCTTACAAAAATCAGTCTCTGAAATAGTTTGAAGGGTGATTTCTTTCCTAATTAATGGTTTAAACACCAACAGTTCATCTACTAAATAAAATAAATTATTATATACCAACATGCTGCAACATTTAAATCCTAAAGCAGTGGTGACAGTGTGTCCGATGGGCGTCTCTCACCCTCAGCTGCTCCTCCAGCTGGCTTCTCTCATCTGCATCTATGGTCATAGTGAGGAACTGTGAGGGTCGCAGGGCTGAGTTACTGGAGACCACATTACTAGAGTAGTTGGATTTCTTCACAGTGTACTTCTCCTCCGCTGTGTAGATCATCCTCATCTGAAGCTCTCTTATCACCTGCCACAGAAAAACACGAGTTACAAGATTATAAGGCCCTATGAAATCAGCTTTTTTTTTTTTTTTTACCAAATTCAGCATTATTTTTTTTAACTTCTATGCTTTCCATTTTAATTGAATAATTACATTTAAATAATAAAATGCATGTCCAAATCAATTTAATTCATAAAATTTTAACAATAACTTTTTAAAATGTTAACAATAGCAGGGCGCTATAAATGTGTGTTGTTGTTTTTTCAGAAATTCTGTGATTTAATACAAATTTATTATCATAAATGGTTGTGTGGAAGTGGTTGCTCTGGAGATAAAAGTTCATGTGAAGTAGGCCTACATGACCTCAAATACTGAAGACAGAGTCATTCAGAACATGCAGACTTCATATCTAAACAGCAGTCTTTTTGTGCTTTTATATACACAGACACTATAGCCCATATCACGATTTGATTCATTGTACAGCTATACTTAAAAACTATATATACAGTAAATTAAATTTTTATGGCTGGATAAACCAATTCCCTCTGTTTTCTCTGCATCACAAAAATCTGATTTTCAAAATTATCTGATCACAAAATTACTGATTTGAATCATTCGTTTACATTGCAATTTATGCATTTGACAGATCCATAGTGGATTTTACATTGCATTAAAGCTATAATTTTTTTATATTTAATTCATGTGATCTCTGGGAATCAAACCCATGACCTTGGTGCTCTACTGTTACCGTAGTAGGCTACAGAAGACTATTTACAAGTTGATAATGAGCAGCTAGGTCACAGACTACATTCATGTGCACAAAACTAGATTCAAAATCTACTGCTTGATGTCTATTAATATTTCGGGCAGCTTCCCAGCTGAATGATGGAGGACCTACCATCTCGATCATGCTCTTAGTCTTCTCTGTTCCTACAGGCACATCATTGACTTTGTACTGATAGCATAAGTAACTCATGACCTCCTCAGGAGCATCGAACAGCTCACGCAAATATGAGAAGAAACCATAAGGCCTGACAAAAAGAAACAAAAACAATTTAATAAATGTACTGAATAAGATGTCTTGGTAGTGGTCGAGTAGAGGGTGTTACTTTAGAGTCTCGAGTGGTCGTGATGGTGGTCGTTTAGAGCAGGACTCCTCTGGAGCAATGACGGTGTTAACTCGCAGCCTCTGTGTGTCTCGCACCTGAGAAAACATTTCACATTGTACTGCTTTTACTTTACTTATCCTCTATTATAAATGTTTATTATTCTATTATTTTAATCCATTATATTATTTCATGTTCATTATAAGAAAGTAACACAAATTAAATATTAGACCGTAAAAACAATTCTTTTTGAACAAATAATTTTACCAATCTTATAAAAAATGTATAGAAAATTGTTAATTTGTTCATATATTATAACCTCCTTAGTTGAACAATCAACATTTTCCCTTCACTGACCGATTGTTTAAAGGTGACCTATTATGCCCCTTTTTACAAGACGTAAAATAAGCCTCTGATGTCCCCAGAGTGTGTTAAATTTTAGTTCAAAATACCCCACAGATAAGGTTTTATAGCTTGTTAAAATTGACACTTTTAGGGTATGAGCCAAAACGTGCTGTTTTTGTGTTTGTCCCTTTAAATGCAAATGAGCTGTTGCTCCCAGCCCCCTTTTCAGAAGAGGCAGGACCTTCAAGAGCCAGCAACAACAAAACAGGACAATCTCACGCACTGAAAATGTCAGAAACTCTCAGTATGAACCAGAATCAGTTTAAAAGTCAGTCATCTGATTGTACTGTGCATAATACATGCACGTTTATTTTTTCACAAACTTTATAAGTCCCACTTGTGATTATGAGCTGGACAAATTCAAGTAGTCGACTTCACATTGCTATCATATGCAATTTTTAACTACCACATTCCTATTAACGATGATTATGGTAGCACGTGAAGGCAGCACCAGTGAAAACAGGCAGAGACAATGGTAGCTTTAGCAACATTAGCCTTACTGAGTACCAAGAAGTTCTTTCAGAAAGGCAATTTGGAAAACAAACGTGTAATATTTACTTTGTCTGGAGCTGACATTCACGCACAAAGCGTTGGTATTAATCCCCCTTTCAGAATCAACCTTTACGAAAATCCAGCGTTGAACTAACCATCATTTGTGAGGCAGTCTGGCGCAAAATGAAAGGGAAAAACATAGGACTAAGCGGCTCAGATGGAGACTCCTATGTTCGTTGGTGCATCTCAAAACGCAACCCTTCTAATGCCTCTTTGGTGCTGACAAGCAGCTACAGCAAGAAAACAGTGATGGCGGACTGCTGCTTCTCACTCAGGGCTGTCTAAGCTAATAGGGCAGAGATCGTCACACACTTTTTCCCTACGATGACGTCATTTTAGGGAGAAATCTGGAATTGTGTGTTCAGAGAGACTGTTGATTTATTGGGATTATAAAAAAACAGTATGTGTGGGTGGATTTTAACCATTACAGCCTGGTTGTTTTCACACACTGCGGCCACACAACTATGTTCAAACACCTTATAAAAGTGATGTTAAAGTGAAAAGTGAAGTTTTGCATAACAGGTCTCCTTTAAATGATTTTTATTTTATTGTGTCAGTTTCTTCACTGAGCTTCTCACCTCTGTCATGAACTTCTCCATGTCCTCCTGTCTCTGAAAGACGAAGGCTCTCAAATCATTGAGAGGAATGTGACTCTCAATGTATTTTGCGTGCCGAGTATCACGGACATTTATCTGGCAAAAAAGAGAGAAAATCAAACAGATCTGCTTAAAAACCCATCTCCAAGAAACAGCAACTGAATTAGCAGTGGTGCTCTCACCACCAGCATCATGGGCTCATAGACGTTGCCTTCAAAACGATCACGGTTATCCCTCAGCCACTTGAGGGCGGTGTAGGTGTCACGAAAACGGTTGCGCAGTTTATCCTCTTTCACCTTCATCATGTCGTCCAGACTCCTCTGACGATTCCGCAAACCTTCAGAAGAACATCCAACAAACTAAACATGAGTGCAAGACTTAAGGTCATTGCACACCGAGTCCGAAATTTTCATATGCGTTTTTCTTCTCTTTCCTATCAAAACACTTGTTACGGATGCAAAAACGCAGAAAATCAAACTTAATCCGAATTTTTTTAAGACAGACGAAAGTTTCGGAGGCAGTGTGTAAACGTGATCGACACAACGTGAGGTCGTATCTATTTTTTACATGCGAAATTTTCGGACTCAGTGTGCAAAGAAGCATGGTGAATTATCAGTATAATGAATATATCAATATAATTATCTAAAACAGGGTGATTTCTTCACAACAGGCAAAAAATGCTTCTTAAACAACATTTGTATGTTTTTTCTAGGGCTGGGAAAATAAATCGATGCATCGCGAATCGAGAAATGATTCAGCATTGATTCTGCGATTTCCCGAATGCATCGCAATTCTTTCTCGAGTCGATTCTGAGCTTAGTTTTGAACAGCAGATGGCGCTGCATGCTTTAGAAACAGCCGTACTCTGCTTGTTTCCAAATCCTTACACACACTTGAACCTAAAATAATCATTCATAAAATTTGAAAAGGATGAAGCGAATTACAAGGGTGTTCACAGTGCGCTGCGTTTACATTAATCTGCCGTCATAAAAGCATTCTGAGCCGAGGTGAAATTACAGTCAGCCGAACTCTTCAGCGCTCTTCTTCGTGAGCATTTGAGTGTGTGGATAAAAACTAGATTAGAGCGCCATCTGCTGTTAAAACCTAAGCTCAGAATTGATTCCAGAGAGAATCGCGATGCATTTGGAAGATCTCAGAATCGAGCCACGAATCGATTCTGCATCGATTTAGCGTCGTAGCCCTAGTTTTTTCTGCTACTAAATTCATCTTAAACATTACGGTTTAATTCTCCAAAGGCTTCGTCTTTATCTCTGCGCAGGTCCAACATCTCGCCCTCCAGTTTGGCTTTTTCCTCCTGGATTTTCCTCAGATCTGCATTAACAGCCTCAATCTGAGGCGTGACGTCCTCCATGCTGCCCATGTTCTGTAGCTCCTTCTGCAGGTCTTTGATCATGAGCTGCGTGTGTCCGATCCGCTTCTGTCGGTCCGCCTCCTCGGTCTGCTTCAGACTCAGGTCCTGTCTGATGTCATCAACCTAGCGTTTGACAGAAGCAGACTAATCAGCTAGTGTTTCAATATGGTCTTTAAAAGTTTCTTATGTTTTGTTGGTAGTCTTTCAGAACAAACCTCTTTATTCCTATATTCCAGCTGATCATGTTTCTGCTTACATTTCTGCGATGCGTCTCTGATACCGGCAGTCTGAGAAATTGGGGGGAGAAAAACAGTGGCATTATTTTTATATAATAAAGGAAATATAAAATAGATTCTTGGCAATCAGGTTTGTGATTTGTGCAGACCAGCTCCTTCATCTGCTGCTCGATGGGCTGCAGCTGACTCTCCACCGAGCGGATCTTCCTGAGTAGCGGCTCCTGAGCTTCTTTTAGCGACTTCAGCTTCTTTTTCATTTCCTCTCTCTCCTTCTTCACCCCCTCGAGCTCTTTACGTGCCGTTTCATACTCCTAAAATCGGAAACAGAGAATAAAGTCTTGAAATCCATCCGATATGTACATAAAATCTTAAAATGCACATTAAAAAAAATGTATGCTCTTGTCATTTTTTATCAGAAAAGAAGATTCCTGAGTAGCGGCTCCTGAGCTTCTTTTAGCGACTTCAGCTTCTTTTTCATTTCCTCTCTCTCCTTCTTCACCCCCTCGAGCTCTTTACGTGCCGTTTCATACTCCTAAAATCGGAAACAGAGAATAAAGTCGTGAAATCCATCCGATATGCACATAAAATCTTAAAATGCACATAAAAAAAAAAAATTATGCTCTCGTAATTTTTTATCAGAAAAGAAGACTTATCTGCACATGAACTACGAATGCATTTATAGTAGTGCTGGGTATACCGGTTCATACCGAATACCAGTGTTTATTTTTTCTTATGATATTAATTTTTAAAATATCTAGTGCTGGGCGGTACACCGGTTCATACCGAATACCGGTGTTTATTTTTGTTATGATATTAATTTTTAAAATATCGTAATATGTCACTTAAACAACGTTCGGAATGCTACACTGTTTGAGAGGGGTCCCTTTTCACTGTTGCACTGTGGTGAGGGAACAGCTGTATGTGTTACTAAGCGTGAAAGTTCCGAAACTGAAGCTGTAGAACTAATAGAACGTGATGATGACACAGAAGAACTCATCCACAATATCCACACTGACCGCCACAAATACCCACCGCCCCCTGCCATCAGCTCCCGCGTCTCACACACGAGCGCGACTTCAGCAGTGAGCAGCAGAGAAGCAGCGCATTCAGTTGGCCATAAATGAGTACAAAACAGCGTTTCCTAGCACCTGTCGCTTACTGATTGTTTGGAATTATTAATTATGAGCGTAGTTCGTCTGTTAATATCACATGCACTTTTTTGTTTGTTGTTTTTTTTAGTTCGTTACTCAGATGCAGGCAGTGCGCTGCATGAGACAAAAAAGTAATATAGCCAAAACAACCGCATAGCCGCTCTTTAGTGTAGATGCATGTTGATTTTATCAGATGATGCCGACGCGATTATAAATGAGAGCTCCTGGTTAACATGTATTAAAAGGGGTCGTGTTTAGTCACTATTTAGTGTGGTATTTTTTGACAATATTCACTCATCATGACAGTAAAATAGGGCATTCTAAGTCAATATACTGCAGTATTTCCTCTCT